GGGAAGGCCGGAACCGAGTTCAGCAGCGGGTATTCTCCTGCTAATAATACTTGGTTTTCACCGTCGACTGATTCAACCTGAAAATCCGCAGCAGAAATGCAAAACAGAGTCGATAAGAGAAGGATAGATGATGCAAGTATAGGCGTCATGGAGGTCATATTTTCGAGATTCTCTGGCCCCGTCCTCAGTGGTCACTGAAGACCAAGTTCTTTGTTGGGTTTTGTTTGATATCCAGCAGAGGAATAAAGGCTAATCGGGAAAATGAAGGTTAAATTAAAGGAGAGCATTCGAAAGCGGATTTGACTAAAAAGGGAATCGGTTTTGTTTTTCCTTTCTACTACCTAAAATAATGTTAAATTAAAGCAACCTGGCGAAAAGAAAGCGTAAAGCAAAAGAATGGAAACGATGTAGAAGTTGGTTTGGTTTGRAAGATGGTCACGGAACGGAGATAAATGAAAACAGGGCATGCCCACATGGGCGCTAACACATCTTCTAAAGTGAGCGAGAGAGACTAGAGGGAGAGAGAGAAATTGGCCCTGGTCTTCTGAGGCAGTGGAAGCTGGTGGCTAATCGTAATTGGGACTGAATTATGAGGAATTCTTTTCTGTAATCTATAATGGTGTTGGGGGTCTCTGGTGGATCTGAGAGATCGAAAAAGGAATAGATTCGTTTTGCTGGATTTTAAGAATTAAGAGAGAGAGAGAGGAGAAGAAAAGAAATTTGGCAGTTTGTTGTGATGCCTTTTTGGTCTTACAGAGACCCATTGGATAAACTTAAGAGGCTATCAAATTACCTCCGAATTCGGTGCAGCTCCGAGTTAGCGAGCGAGTTGTGTTGTGACCATGACCACCGGACCACGACATAAAGCGGACCGCCTTACTTTTTGGACTTTGTGGAGGAGCAGGAGTACCTAAACCCATGGTTCCTTTTTCTTCTTTCTTTCCTTTCGAAGGGAACGACCAACAAACAACTTCGTCCTCTGTTTTAGGATCAAAATTATGAGTTGAAGGAAATTCGAGAAATTCAGTCGTGGGGTGTATGGGTATTGTATTATTTACCTACCGTAGCATTTGCATAGCAAGACGCCAAATTGTTGTTGCCACTGCCCACTGGAAACCCATCGTTTCTTCGGCATCTCATCCTCTTAAAAAATGACAAATATAAAATACCCAATTGGGTTTTGGATCACAAAAGAGAAGAAAGAGAGAGGGAGTGAGAAGAGAACATGAATGGCGTTACCTTAAAAGACAAACCCGAAATGTCAATCAGGAAGAAATGATTCCAACGAAAAGTTGCCTTTTAGAAAAGCTCTTGTCTCACCTCGCCTCGACTCCAGTGTTCTCTGCCCCCACAACACAACCTCAGTAGGGCCCCCGCCCCCGCCCCCCCCTCCGTCTCTGTAAATTGCAATGCCACATGAAAACAAAGCCACTTCATTTTTTCCTAACCTCTGACCTTTCCGAGCCCTGCATTATTATTTCAATCATGTAAAGTTATATAAACCATACGTTCATATGTTGAAAAGTTATAATATTAGCTTTTGCATTTTCGTCTTAGAAATGTCTTCGGAAGTAGGTACTGATACCACTTATTCTTCTGACCTTTGGACCAAGATTTGTATATCAATTAATTTTGATTCATGGCCTCAATAAAATGGCAAATTTTAGGAGGAATTTGGCGGTTGGAAAGTAATAGAATAGAATGTTGGAGCCCTGTTGGCGGGTTGAGTAATGGGCCAGATCCTTTTTTGGGCCTGCGTTCTTTTGCACGTGCAGGCTGCAATCTTTTTCTTCTATACCCAAATAATTGGGATTATTGTCCAAGACGGAAAAATTCAAGTACGTGTTCTTAATTACCTCTCCATTTTCTTTCTAAATGCCCAAACGACATTTCTTTATGATAAATATATATTTTTAATTACCGTTAATTTTATATTATAATTCACCAAACTAAACTAAACAAGCAAAAGGAAATCTAAATCAATTTTTAAACAGCAAAAACATTAGTAAAAAAATACTAAAAATCTTATTGAATAAACTGAACATTAATAAATAAATATAATTAGAAATGGAAATACAATTTGAATAAAAGAAAAAATACTCTCAGTTTCAGCTTGCGGCTATTAGGTGTTCGTCATATTACATTTTTTTTTCTCTCTTCTAATTCCAGTTGTATACCTTAACTTTGTGTTAGTGTTCATTTTGTTTCTCTTTTACTCCTACCTATAAACATTAATTTTGCCACATTTTTCTCTCTTATATTTCCAGCTGAATATTTTGTATATGTGTTATTGTCCAATTCAATGTCACTTTGACACAATAAATGGAAAATAGGATGAAGGTAACACCCTACTGAAATTGAATTTGGTTACTTTTGGGCCAATTAGAATGTAAGACTTTGTTGAATGATTTGGGTCATCACTTATATCATCGGCTACTAGTTGTACAGCATGATTTGAATACATACTTATAGGTCAGATACTAGCTGAGTTAGGCTTGTTTGATTTCATTTAATATTCTCCCAGTTAGGATATAATTATTCAATAAATAGAAATTTGTAATAAAATATTTGTAAAATAGATAGAAATATAGAAAAACATATATTAGTGATACTTTATATTAGGTATATTAATGATATACTTTATTAATAATACAGAAAATGATACATCACATTAGACATGTATACTATATATATTAGCATATCATATGAAAAAAAATTACTAATAGATTTGATCAATAATAAAAAAATACCATATTAGTGATATACTATTTATTTGGTATACCAATGATTAAAAATGGTATATTAATATTAATGAGAAAAAAATACTTGTCTCCTAAATAGTAGTGAGAGCATTGGTACCTCACGGGAACCAACAATAAGTGAACAAGTGTCGGATTTTACTTTTACTTGAGTTGTTTTGGCGTTCTACTCCCCTCTTGCTCTCCTTCCAACGCCTCGCCTCCCTCTTTTTCTATTCTGAAAGCTTCCTCCATTTTTTTTTTTCAATTTATAGAATCCCAAATACCTCTTTACAAATATCTCTCTACTCCACAATAAAAGGTATACAATTTTTCTTTTGCTTTCATTATTTTTAATTTAGGTGGATAAGACACCTAAAATGAAGGGCTAGAGAGAGAAAAATAAAAAGCAAAAATAAAATTATACCTTTATCATGGGGTGATTCTATAACTTGAGCAAGATTTAAATTTAAGTTTGCAGTAAGTTGTAAAAAACAAAAATAGAGAGAGACAAGTTTTTCCATAAGTGAAAAAAAGAAGGAGAGGTGAGAGGTGTTGGGAGAGACAAAAATGAAGAGAAGGAGATTGTTTGTGAAAAAACTACAAGTATATTTTGATGAGATCTATAATTTTTTTTAGAAAATAGTAAATATGAGTTTAGTTTGATTATAATTGACATGTGTATGTGTTTTTAATCAAGAAGGCATGAGTTTTAGTTTGAATTTTTCATGTTTGAACTATAAAAATTGAAAAAACAAGAAGAAAAAGCAAAAGTCAACCCTTATTTACTTATTATTGGGCCAAACTAATATTACGGATCCAAGTTTTCTCCCTTAATAATATGCCATAGAAAATTATCCTATTTATAAATTATTTTTCTAGCAAATATGACATCTAACTTTTTGCAACCCATTATGATTTTTCCTTTTTAAATATATAAATTTTCAACCCCATAAATAAGAAAAAAAATATCGCTCCCTTTCCGACCCCATGGGAAAAATTGCCATTTTTGTAATGAAGCTCTCATAAACACCACTGGTTTGAATTTGTTGGGGTTGCGGGATCAACTCCAAAAGAAAATGATACGAAATTAATAAGGATCCCACATTAAAAAGATAATGGATCATGGATTACTCCTATCATAACCGATTAGTTTAAGATGAAACCTCATAAATAATAATAGATCCAGGATCATTTTTTATAGCCAAGGAGTATTATTTTGGCTGCTGTATTTCCAGCAAGAATCTAATTCTACGCAGCCTCAGAAGCCTCACATCCTCTGTTCCCCTCGAGACTCTGTTTCCCTCTCCATCGCCGAGTCCGACTCTCGCCACTTCCACGCCCTTATAGCCGACCATGCAAAAGATGCCACAGACGTGTATCAATTATGTCAGGACTGGCCCAATTTCCGCGTCGCCTCGGATGGGACGACTCAGGCGATTCCTCTTCTCACACTGCGAGTCACCATCTTCCCCTACCAAGGCCTCTCCATTGGAYTGTCGTTCCTCCACGTCGCCGTCGACGGACCCGCATTCCACCATTTCGTCAAATCATGGGCGTCCATCTGTAAAGGGCAAGACTTCGATGGGCCAACGCCGGTTCACGATCGGACTGTGGTTCGAGACCCGAATGGACTTGAATCGACCATTCTCCAGCTACAGTGGAGCATGGCTGGGCCCATCAATTTCGGGAGTGAGCCCATCAGTAAGCGTCTGGCCGACATGGTTCGGGCGACATTTGAGCTGTCGAAAGCCCAAATTGAGGGACTGAAGAGCTGGGCCAGGGCGGAATCTCCACATTTTTCGAGTTTCGTTGCAGTATGCTCTCTTGTTTGGGTTTGTTTCATCAAATCGCGTGAAGGCGAAGGAGGAAATGGAAAAGGAAGTGAAGTTTGTTGCTTCGCATTCGCAGCAGACTGCCGTAAGCGACTTGGATATCCGATGCCTGCGGGGTATTTCGGGAATTGCCTTGCGTTTTGCCATGCGGTAGTAGAGAAGGGGGAGCTTTTGGGTGGAGATGGTGTAATTGTGGGAATGAAGGCCACTGGGAAAAGAGTGGGAGAAGCGGAGGATGAGCCGTTGAAAGAGACGGCGGAGTGGGCGTCGGTTTGGAAGAAGTATAAAGAGCGTGGAGTTGTGTTCGCAGTGGCTGGGTCGCCGAGGTTGGGTGCGTACGATGTGGACTTTGGGTGGGGGAGGCCCATAAAAACTGATGTGATTCACATAGATTCAGGGAGCCTATTTTCTCTGGGAGAATCGAGAAATGAGAATGGTGGAATCGAGGTTGGGTTGGCTCTCAGTACCGCTCACATGGCTCGCTTTGTTGCCGTGTGGGAACAAACACTGAATCTTTTCAGTTGCTGATGAGGGGAGCCATTCATAGATTGCAACATCAAGCAGTAACACTGCAAGCTATTTTAAAATATGGGTATTGCAAGTTTAATGTTATGTATTTTTATTCCTTACAGATTTTAATAAAATTCGCTTATGTATTAAATACGATAGATTTAGGTAAATAAGATTAAGTTATATTAGAAAATCAAGAATAAAATAAAATATGTATTTTCAAATATGTTAGAAAGTTTTAAACTTGTACAAAGATAATCCTATCTAAATCAAATCATACTAGAATGTAATCTAAAATATATTCAATAAAATCAAAATTTTTGTTGTATTTGAAGAAAATAAGATCCTTTAATCTATAACACGTGTTAAATTTAAGTTATGAATTGAAAATTTTCAAATTAATAATAAATTGATAAATATAATATACAATCGTGATTGGTATGTTAAACATATATATCCGATACAGCAATCATACGTTGGAATCTCTAAGAGTATAAGAAAACTTCATCCCTTTAAGAAGACAACCGTAGAGCTTTGAGATAATATTTTCAGAAAGAATTTCTGCTATGGAAACAATGAGGCTACAGGAGTACCAAATATATCCCACATAGCCCATACACCTGTCGCAACCTGATAGGTGAAAGCATAGGAAACTTTTTTTTTTTTTTTAAAATAACTATTACACTAAGAAAGGAAGAGAAATAGACCAATAGACTACAAGGAAAAATAAGACTCCATCAGTTTTTTTATTTTATTTTTTTAATTTTTTTGAAAAGGAAATCATAACTAGCTATGCACTAAGAAAGAAAGAGAAATGGATCAAAGGACTAGAATGAAAAGTAACAAAGGTTTAATCTCTCGTCTCCGTCCCCACATTTATTTATTGCACCAACAAAAATTATTTATCTTATATTCCTACTCGTGTTATCCATTTTCTAACTAGTCAAATTTGCATCCATTTTATTGTATATTATCAGCAAAAATAATTTGATTGTAGAGTACATAAATTATTATTTGATGGCATTTTAAGGTTAAACATAAACTTCACGTCAACAATTAAAATGATGCACTGAATTAGGTATTTGATAAATTGATTTGTAATTTAGAAATACTTTGATGAATTAACATTGGATATATATGTTGTTGTAATTTTATAAATTTGTTTGACTCTTATTTTTGTTATTATTTTTAGTACAACAAAATTGATTTATGAAGGTTTAACCTACGGACAGGAATATAATGAACATTGAAAATGCATTTTCGATTTATTCTCGTGGAGGATTGGGCCACACACGTACTACAACAATGACATCATTCACTAGTGATTTGAATCGCTCACTTTAAGGAGATGAATAGATAGATGCTTGATTTGGCCATTATTTCACTTAAAAAAACAACGTTCTTTTTCCTAAATCAGAAACTTAATATAAAATTGGTTGGAATCTGTTACGCACGTGCCAAGAAAAGGGAAAAATAAATGGAGTAATTTGGCGGGGTCCGCATGGTCTAAACAGGCGAGTGACGTGCACGCGGCAGCCATGTCCGCTGCAAGATGAATATCAAATATCTTCCTCGTAAAATAAAATGTCGTGAAGTTCAAAATAATAATTAACAATTATATCTTGTAACTGAAAAAAATGAGAGTCCGATGGCGATGAGGCTGGATGTGTAGCTATCTGAAGCAGTCAACGCGCCTTTTTCCGTCTTCCCACCAATTTGTTCTCACATACATCATTAATTCTGCTGCATATGCATTTTAATTTTTGACCCAACTGGCAGGAGGCGTTTCAAATTTCTTCAATCCAGTTCCGTCTACGATTTGGTTTTCCGGTGGCTTTTCCAGGTTATTTGAAAATTTTCATTTTCTCGGGGGGCTTTTCCTGATCCAATTCCGTGAGATCTCTATGTTATTTGCTTCTTCTGGCATTTTTACGGGCATTTGTAGGCGCGAGTGGAGAAGACATAATTAGAAAGTAAAACTTTTGTGTTTGGTCGATCTGCTGCTTCTCTGGAAATGTTTGAGTTAACTCCGTGCACTGGAGAATTCGGAATCTCCGGCTGATTGCTTTTCTTTTTTGGGAGGATATAATGATCTTTACAGACCAGAGATATTCCATGCGCTTTTTGACGCTTTGACGTTTTGATTATTCTCAATTTTGTTTATTTCGCATTCCGAGTGGGGTCATTTTCTCTCTCCATATGATTTTTCACTGCCGAGCTGAGAATATTCGTGCAATTTGTATTTGACGTCAATGTATTGCACAATTATGAACATGCAGCAACATTGGTAATTTATAATGTTGCGAAATACATATTGACTTCCAATTTATGTACTAGATCAGCGATCCGTCAGGGATGTTTCTCTAAAATCATTGGCCTATGTTAATATTTTTATTCATAAGATCTAAAAACTCGGTTAAGAATCTATACCTAGCCTGCTTCACCTTAATTCATTGAGTTTGATCATGAAGTTTTGTTAAGTACCGACCAATGAATCACAAGGATTGGAATCTATAATTTCTGTTTGGGGACTGAATGAGTGATGGGATATAGTTTCATCTCTTTTATCTTCTTTATGTTTTTGTTTCCCAGATGATTCAGACGAATTGTGTAGAATGGGTAGTATTTTGAGCAACTTTTGATATTCACATAACCTACTAATTCCCAAAACAAAGCAAATTATTGTTTTATGTGATTTAAGGATCTCTATTTTGCATCATTGTCTGCATAAATCAGACTCATGAGGATATCCTAAAATTCGTTAACGAAGATGCATTTCATGTGATGCAGTTGGAGGCAATGATGACGAATTTTCAGGATCATTCTGAATTTTTGAAGAATTTCCTCATCCCTAATTACGTACTCCTATCTGAATTAGAGGTTGAGAACGTTCCTCATGTTCCCAGTTGTCCTGTTTTAGTATTTATCAACTCCAAAAGTGGTGGTCAGCTTGGTGGCGCTCTCCTTAGTACATATCGTTCTCTTCTCAAAGAGAGACAGGTGAATTTTTTATCATAAAGGTTTTAAATGCTTCTTGCCAGCATTGGGGATATCACTCAGTTTTGTAGGAAATTACTGAATTTCCGGTCAGTTGACTTTTATCTGACTAATTGTAAGGTTTTTGATTTGGGGGAAGAAGCTCCTGATGAGGTGCTGCGCAGAATCTTCTTGAATCTCGAAAAACTTAAGCTTAACGGGGATGAACTTGCTGCCAATATTCAGAAGAAATTGCGACTAATTGTTAGTTTCTGATATATGTTTTCTTATATCTACACCAAAGTTATAATTGTATGATTTAGCAGCATCTTGTGCTGTAACTTCCATTCTTAATGCATTTGATCCTTCAGGTTGCAGGGGGTGACGGAACGGCTGGCTGGCTTCTTGGAGTTGTTTGTGATCTTAAGTTATCTCATCCACCTCCAATAGCTACAGTGCCCTTAGGAACTGGAAACAATCTTCCTTTCGCATTTGGTTGGGTAAGAAATTTCATTTCACACTGTCTGGTTACCATTTTAACATGGTAGCATTGAAAACGGTGTTGAGTAAATGTAAACGAAGTCAGAATTAGGATGGGCTCATTGGTCCAAAGAGATTAGGGTTAATTAAGAGGGAATGTGTTTAAACCCCAAGATGGCCACCTACCTTACGAATTAGTAATTCCTATGTGCTGTCAGCACCAAATGTTGTAGGGTCAGGCGGTTGCCTCGTGAGATTAGTCGAGGTGCGCGTAAGCTGGCCCGGACACTTACGGATATCAAAAAAAAAAAAAAAGAATTAGGATATTGAATTGCTGCTCTCTTATTGGTTGGAATATTAGTTATCGTCCATAACCTTATTGACAGGCATTTTAAGGTTGAAGGCATTTCTCTGAGTAGTGGCATTTCAGTTTGATATCAACCAGCAGCATGTATATAATGATTAATATCATCCTGATATTATCATAAAGCTGCACAAGAATTGAAACGAATTTTCTTTTTCCTAATTTCAGGGAAAGAGGAATCCTGGAACAGACCCTAACTCTGTGCTTTCATTTTTAGATCAAGTTCTGAAAGCAAAGGAAATGAAAATAGACAAGTAAGAAAATCGGGTAGCAAGGCTGACGCACACATGCTTGCATATGTGCTTATGATAAACTCGATATTGTTATAATCAAAAGCTGTAACGGATTGTGTTATTGTTGTATGACAGTTGGCATCTTCTGATGAGGATGAGAGCTCCAACTGAAGGCTCATGCGATCCTATTCCTCCTCTTGAATTGCCACATTCCCTACATGCATTTCACCGTGTCACTGAGGGTGACGAACACAGCGTGGTAACTGCATACTATGTGACAAATATTCTCTGTTTGTATTGCATTTTTTGTCAAAAAAAGAGTATTTTGATTTTTCTGATTAATTTTAGCGGATTATCTTGTTATCTCTCTCAAAGATACCTGCCTGCAAAACCCAGACATCACCATCTTAAGTACTTTTCTTACAAGTTTAATTTAGCCTTCAATCTCTTAGCCGAAAAAAATTTACCCAACTATTAGCTCTAATATTCCAATTTTCAACACCTCCAAAACTATGTCATACTTGTGGTCGAAGGTAAGCTCTACAAAGGATACTTGATTTTGATGAAAACAAATTAGAAATCCTCTACACAGGACAGTAGTGGTATTTCTGATCAACGGTATTGGATAAGGTGACTAGATTATCTGTCCAAGTATGTTATCCTAGAACTAGTATTGAAGAGAGTTCTTGTTTTATGAAGAACGATGACTAATGTATGACCTTTTGGAGTATAAAGGTTTTTGCTTAAGTACAATTAGATTGTTTCATTACCATCTCCTACTCCATGATTGCAGAAGACTTGATAAATAACTCAATATCTGTACTTGGAATGAGCATTTTTAGCTGAACGCTGAAGCGTGATTGAAAGGTACAAGTAATCGATATAAATTAGAAATCAAAGTCTTATGGAAAGGAAGTTAACTTTCTTTGTGTCGTAGTTATCCTCAATTCTACTTTGTAACTTCTCATTTTCAAATATTAGTTCCATTCTTTATTTTATAGCAACGTTCTTAATGTAGATTCTGAAACTGTATAAAGGTTATGCAATGAATTCAGCACGTAGCAAAAGTATTATTTCTGGAAAGCTGGCCTGTAGTTCTCATTTTGTTTGATATTCCTTTTATGAAAGAATTTTTGCCTACAATTATGCTTTATATAAGTTGATCTTCTGCTCTCTTATGTATTAAAATATTTACTTGATTCTCAGGAAGGTTGCCTCACATTCCGTGGGGGATTCTGGAACTACTTCAGCATGGGTAAGACTACATCCACGATAGTTCTAGATAAAAGTTCAACCTGTTACTAAAAGTTGTAACATCTGGAAACGGACTCTGACATGAGAGTGGGTTCTTTGTTTTGATTATAGGAATGGATGCTCAAGTATCATATGCATTTCATTCTGAGAGAAAGTTGCATCCCGAAAAATTTAAGAATCAGTTGGTTAACCAGGTAGCGTTACAAATCTCTTAATGAATATTATATTATTGATGGACTTTGTGTGTTAAAAATTGCTTTTAGACTAGTTTTTAATCACACTAAAATTTTTATACGAGAGAATAGATATTATGAACTTGATTTTGAAAATATTGAATCGTCAAAATATAAGCTTCAACATGTAAGTTTTCTCAAATTTATTTGCCAAGCACATGTAACTTTTCAATTATTATATTATTGATGCTTTTATACCAAGTTTAACCTTTTCTCCCAGAGTACCTATGCAAAGATTGGCAGCACCTGGTTTTTGGCTCCTGTGTTTCATCCTTCATCCATGTGCGTATCGTGTGTGTGTATATATATTACTTTTTTATGTGGGATGGGGGGATATTTTTATTTTTCTCGATGTAGTGAAAAGTATAGTGAGCTAAATTAACCATGAGGAGGTGTACACAAAACTCCCAGTAAATCACTCGTGAGGTATACAATGTTTAGGCTACCCATTACGAGATTTTACAAAATTGAAATTCATATAAATTGCATTAGTGGAATAATATAAAAGATGGAAATATAAGCTTTACGTTGAACCATTTAATTAGCCAAGTCCACATCTTTCCGAATCTCGTCAATAAATACCCTCTCATTCCTTTCTTTCCAAGACCCCAATGAATTGCTTTTACTAGATGCATAATATCTTAGCCCGCCCTCTTCTGTCTATGGGCATCTAACAGCTGTATCAAGCTCTCCTTTGCTGCTCTGTGGAGAGCCCAAGATGGTTGAAACTCGTATAAATCTCTAACACTTGCTACTGTATTGAAAATGAAAGAATACGGTCTTGATTTTCCTTTGCCTATTCCATAGTGCAGCCCCGAGGGTCTAAGAAGCATGTCAAGGCATCTATATCCACTCCCCCATGGCAGTGTCCACACAAAAAAACTAACTTTTTGGGGCCTTTGTCCTTGTACTCACCATAGAATGTTCTTTATATAGGGCAGATTTCCTTACTATCAAATTCAGGAATAAATACTTAACAGAGAACAGCCCGGAGCAATTGCACGACAATTCTTATTAGTAACGGAAAATATCTTCAAGTTCAAACTGTAAAATTGTCAAATTTTAATTAAAATGGGTGTTTCTACTTTATTAATTCAAAATGAAATGCAAGAATGATATGCATTAGCCTCTAGTTTGTCTATTGATTCTATAGTAAAGTATTGTTTCATTTTCTGTAGCCTCTGTTTTCCCATTTCTTTGTTTAACCTAGCTTCCTGTCACTGTAGGAATATAGTTCAAATTGCTAAGGTGGAGATCATGAAATGTCCTGGTAATTGGCAAGAGTTGCATATACCTCATGGGTAAAGTTTTTCAGCTTTGAAAATTACTTACTGGACCCTCTTTCACTTCTTTCAATTGACTTCGTTTTAGAACCATATTGAAAAGTTCTGTTCAAATTTCAAATAATTTATTTGTTTGTCTATTGGTAATAACCTGATCTGCTTCTTGACTGCAATGTACTCAAATTCAATTTTTCTCGATTGACGTACCTCCTTTTCATTTTACCCATCTGATATCGGACTATAATATTTATCCTTCGAATTTTTTTGCTGGACATGCGGAAGAACAAGTATGGAAGTAGTGATGCATCTCACTTATTTGAGTGTTGGCGTGTCGTAATGTTCTTTCAACCACAACTATTATTTTTGATTGGAAACTGAAACCAGCATCCTATATCTTATCATTTGTTTTCATCCTAATCAGTTCTGCACTACTAGTTTTCTGTCAATAATATCTTGCTAATTATTCTGGCAAGAAAATAGTACCCCTTCTCTCTCATCTCAGACTAACGGCAATAATAGATAACTAAAATGATTTAGTAATTTATAGGATCCCTTTTTTTTTATTTTGCTAATATTAGGATACCATATGCTTCCCTTTTTGATTATTCAACGTTGTACCTTGATGTCTACGGCAGAATCAGGTCAATCGTATGCCTTAACTTGCCCAGCTTTTCTGGTGGATTCAATCCATGGGGGACACCAAATAACAGAAAGCGGCGTGATGTTAGTTCTCAATCTCGTTATTTTGTATTTAGATTTGAAGTAGCATCTGATTCCTGATGTTGGTTGAATGCTTTAATTACTTTCACATTTTTCTCCTTTAGTATCTAATGTTATACCTTTGTGAAATATGGTTTATAGAGAGACTTGACTCCACCATATGTCGATGATGGCCTTCTTGAGGTTGTTGGCTTTCGAGATGCTTGGCATGGACTGGTTTTGCTTGCTCCAAAAGGACATGGAACTCGCCTTGCACAGGTGAGAAATGGAATCGGATTAAGACATTTTAGAAACTGTATCTTCATCACACAAGTCCAAAGAAGGCTTTTGGAAGCAGATAGAGATTCATATATTTCCGTGTGTTATGGTTGTAGTTCCTATCGGTTAGTATATGGGATGTAGGCTATGGTAAAATGCTCATAACAACCAAAGACTATCATAATTATGTTCTGCTTAGATCGTAATCTTACAATTTTTAACTGAATATGAAGCAGACTAAGAACCATATGGCTAGCAATTTCAGCAACCTTCGGTAGAAAGAAAAATTATAGAATATGTATTTTATTGAAGGGGTGGATACTTCCTGATAACTTAGGTCATGTTCAAGATTGATTTTGGCTGCCAAAATCAGCCACTCTCCAAAATCACTTGTATTTCATTGTCAAACATTATGGCATGTTTGAAAGTGATTTTGACATTTAAAATTGTAATGATTGACAGTGATATAGGTGATTTTAAAAATTTGCAAAAGTAATTTTGGTTAGGCTAAAATCACTCCCAAGCATGTAAAGATCTTTTGATCATGCACATTATTTTAGGTAAACGTACCGTTGCTACTGTAGACCACTTTGTGGCTAAATCTGGAATCTACTTGGTTACAGAAATCCATTCATCCATCTATCTTGAGGTTCCAGCATAATGTGTTGAATTGCATCTCATAATAAAAGTGAGAGCTCGATGCAGGTCAGATTAGACTTCAAAATTTGAGTGGTACTGTTTTAGAAGGTTATTGGTATAGATGTCTTCAAGTATTACCATGCGGTAGTTGCGGATGTAAGTTTTTCCTTGAGCCTGTGCTTGAAAGAATAATATGACCCCTCCTTTAGGAATTACAGTTATAAAATCTTCATGGTTAGATAATGTTCTGAATTTCTTTTAGCATATTCCCTGTGTCTCTATTCTATTTTACTCACATTTTGCCTTTGATTTGGTGCAAGGCTCATCGCATCAGGTTTGAGTTTCAGAAAGGTGCAGATGATCACACATTTATGAGGATTGATGGGGAACCCTGGAAGCAACCCCTCCCTGCCAATGAATCTGTTATGGTGGAAATCTCTCATCTTGGCCAAGTCAACATGCTTGCCACCCATAATTGCAGAGCCAAAAGCGTTCATGATCCCTCGACACCGAGCAGGCATGATGAGGACTCTGATGAGGAGGATTATGAAGACGACTCAACACAAAGTGGTGAAGAATTCAGGAAATTTGGTGCAGCAGCCACCTTTAAGATTCCAGACGAAATTGATATCTCTCATCTTAGTTAAACACATACCTTTTTACATAGTTTTCTCTGAATGTTGGTGATTTAATATTGTCTGAACAGTGGGCATATGTAATTACAACGATTGGCTTGATCTCCGATAATGTTGCCTCTTCAATAATATCTTCAAATATATAGCGATTCTGCTTTTTTGGTGTACATTCACCCTGATGAGTTGAAGCAAAAGTCTTTCTTTTTCTCTTTTTTCTGTTGAGTGGTAACTCAAGTCTCGAAAATTTTCCTTTTTTTTCATCTTATTTCATGTTATCTAAGAAGAGAGAATGAACTAGGCTTTGTTGTAATAGTTGCACCTTACAATTTTAGAGCCTTCAGAAGAACAATTTCACACAGCAAACTGAATGAATAGAAACAGGAAATGAATGGGTGATGATTTTTGCAAAACGGGTCACAATCACATGGGAGGATGAATGGGGTGAGTGATTCTCTTGTGTTACTCTAACCCTTAACAGCTCGGGACATGCCCGCCTGTTTTATAACATTATACACCTTACTGCATGCACTAATGTTGTCTTCGTAAAGATAGCTTTATCTATTCTTTTCAAGCAAAAGTAGATCTTCATGTTTCTGGAAAAGGAGAAGAACAAATGGGAAGGAGCAAAAAGTGGGAAAAGGAAGGGAAGATGGTGGTGAAAATGATATCTTTTGGCCCCCACTATTAATTATCAGAATATTGAGGATTTGATCTTCCTTAAGCAACTTGCTATTTGTGCTTTTTCTCGCCATCTTCTACATTCCTGCCTGTTATGGTTGAAATTTGATGGGACTTCAATTTTTTCCTTAAGAAAGAAGAAAAAAAGAGAATATAGCCGGTACATGGTACAACAACAGTGAATAGAAGTAGTTTATCTGTTACTTAATAATAGTTCTTTTTGTTAAAGATTCTATTTGTTTATATTAAGTGTGGTTTAGTGGTTGTGGGCTTATTTAATCTAATAAAAGATTCGTAATTAACAAACTTGCGTGTGTTTATGTTTTGTACAGGGGGAAAAGTGCATAAACAAACAAACAATTGCCAACACAAATGCAGCCAAGATTCGAAGATCATCAAAACGGAACCGTATTCGTTGTTGGATATGAAATAAATTTTGGTACTTGGAACATACTTAACTGCGTCTTCCACTTCAGCCCATCAAAATTCTCATACAAACCGTAGAGACACCAATAATAGAAATTTATTATCAACCGGTCGGCGGGGTGGTTTTCGCCTAACTCGAGTAAGGTACGGTAAATTTGGTGAGAAGCTGTCGCGAGCAGAGAGAGCAGCTATAAACGAGATGTACGCTTAAATAAATGAACCCTCTAAGAAATCCCAAATTCTCCATCTCTATCTTCTACCAAATAAGGAATTCTACCTCTGCTTAAAACTTCGGAAGAGCTAGAAGAAGGGTCTGATTCGCCGGCGTCAATGGCGGTCGTTGATGAGAAATCAGGCCCCGATGGGAAGGTTTGGAGCTTCTGTAGTATTCCTTTTTGGCAAAACGGCAATGCCTCGTCTTCTGCTTCTCCTCCCTCGACTTCTGTTCATAACGTTCATTTGCAAAGTAATGGTAATAAGTCGGCAGAGCAACCCAGCTCTTATTCTTCCGGTAAGGTTTCGTCAATTGCGAAATCTCTACTTCCCACCAGGAGAAGGCTTCGTCTGGATCCCTCCAACAAACTCTACTTTCCATGTAAGCGTCCGGTGCCTCTTTTCTTATGTACTCGGCTGTAATTTCTGCCACTAAGGGGGCTTGATTTTTGTTTAATTTACTCGATTTAGAGTTTCCTTGACACAGATAGTGATTGTTTCATCTGGGTCGCCATTTTTGGTTCTGCTGTTTTACTGTGTTTGATTTCTGAATGGCTGAAGAAGCCTGTGTTCTTTTGCTTCTTTCCTCTTTATCGATCTGGAAGCTTTAGTTTGTGGTTTCTTGCTTTTCTGATCCGTCAATAGTCTGAGTTAAAGTGAATTTCAAATTGTTCATTTAGCTGTCCTCCCCTGTTCCCTGGTGAAACATACAAGGATGATGACTGATGTAATTACTCTCTAAACGATGTCATCTAAATTCATAAATCGTGCGGCCAACAGTGATCTGTTCTTGTTTGGGTTTTGAAAATGTTTCTTCTTTTTGTTCTTTTTTTGTCGGGGGTTTGTTTGGTCGTCTAACAAGAATTATGCCCTTGAATTACATGTATTGCCTGTTGCATCATGTTGATTGTTAACTATATTTGTTTTTCCTCACAGCTAATCTGTTTTCATTCATTTTTTTTCCCTTCTTAAGATGAACCCGGGAAGCAGGTCAAGAGTGCTATTGAGATTAAGAATACAAGCAAGAATCATGTGGCTTTCAAAGTATGGATTGTATTCCTCTCGAATTTTTATCAATATGAACACGAAGTTGTTTTAGTTCTATTATAGATGTAGTCTTACCCGATGCAACCATCTTACTGGTGACCCCTTAAATTGTTTTAGTTTCAAACGACCGCACCGAAGAGCTGTTACATGCGTCCTCCTGGCGGCATACTTGCTCCTGGTGAAAGTATTATTGCCACAGGTAACTCATATTCTTCATACTTCTAATCTTTATTCCTAGTTCTCAACATTACAAATATAAACAAGGTAATTAAAATGTTTGAAATGTCTTACTCTGAATTTGTGACTTGAATTCAGTATTTAAGTTTGTGGAGCCACCAGAGAACAATGAGAAGCCTTTGGATCAGAGGAGGAGGGTCAAGTTCAAGATTGTGAGCTTGAAAGTGAAGGGTGATATGGACTACGTGCCCGAGCTGGTATGTCGTGCAGTATCAAATTCTGAGGTTTACTGCTACTATTCTATATGCTTTGAGTTTGTGAACAACACTTCAATGATTACTGAATTTGAAGTTTAATGTTTGCTGAGGTTCAAAACAATTTATCGAGGTTTAGCTTCTTGCATTCTCAATTTCTAAAGTGAATGATATGCTAATTAAATACTTATAATGGCTTAGTATCCATATTCTATCACAATACATGATGCAATTTTTCCTTCTATCATGTGGTCTTGTGGAGATCTTTTATTTAAACTTTCTGATGGTAGTTTAAAATGATGGCTTTGCGCAGTTTGATGAGCAAAAGGATCAAGTGGCAGTTGAGCAAATACTGCAAGTTGTTTTTCTTGACCCTGAGAATTCTAATCCTGTAAGTAGCAATGGGTGAGAAACTCGGTATCAAGTATGGTCAAGCCTGCTTCTTACATCAATCTTCTTATCTTCTTTCAGGCACTTGAGAAACTGTTCCGACAATTGGCCGAGGCTGAGGCTGCAACTGAGGCACGCCAAACGCCTGCTGAAGAAACAGGCCCTAAGATTGTCGGGGAAGGACTTGTCATCGACGAATGGGTGAGATAACTGAACTATTGTCCAGATCTTCTTCCAAATCTTTTGAACATTCACAATCTCTCACATGCTATGATTCTTCTTCATTTGTAGAAAGAAAGAAGGGAAAGATACCTAGCTAAGCAACAGGTTGGAGGTGTTGATTTGGTGTGAAATTCAGCTGCATTGTTTTAAGGAAGTTGAAGTCAGCTTCATGTGTGAAACTTTCATTGAGCCATTTGTCGAAGAAGCAGCGATTCTCTTCTTCAGTAACCGAGGATGTTAGCAATCAAGGGTGAACGGCTTAATGACTAGATTTGTGATGGAGTTTCATGCTCTTGCATTTGTTTGGATTGAATTGCTATTTCTTGGAAGTGAAAGTTTTCAGTTGAATTAGAGCACTATCACCATTGATGTAAATAGTGGCAGCTGTTATTTTTTCACCTAGAACTGTACAACTTTTGACATCAAATATGGCAATCCCATCTTCATTTTTCTCTGAAATGCCCTCCTTTTAGTTTTCACCATTGATGGTTTGGCTGTTTGCAATTTAATTTAGGTCAGATGAGCCAAAGAATCAAGTCTTCACAAAGAACGTATCCTTATTCTTCTTTGTGAATTCTACAAAGAGGAATCATTTCAGGCCACTTGCTATTTGGAATCAAGTTGGCCAAAATGTGTCTCTCTTTGAAATCTTTCCCCCAGTGGTTTCCCATCACATAACAGACAAAATGATTGAAATTTGGTGTATATTTATATATATATAGTTTCCTTCAAGTGGAGGAGTTATGGATAAACGATTATAGCGATTCCACATCTTCATCATATGAATTTATTCCTATGAACCCCACTTCAAGAGCACATAATTTCCATCTCATGTCAAGCTTATTAATTAAATTATGTGAATACTAAAAGTAATTATGGATGCGATGTATGCCCATTAATTCAAAACTCAAAAGCAAGATTTTAATGCCAATATGAAATTAATTCTTGAAAGATTGAGATTGAGACTTTAAACACTCGAGTCAGTAGTCCAAAATAAAAATCAGTAGAAGTTCAAAAAGGCAGAATCGTTCTAAACCTGCCTTTGTAGTAGATTTTATTTGTTATAGAGCATTTTCATAGCAAACATTAAATTATATAGTTAATTGATTGTCATATTATATAGGTAGATAAGGGAAGCAATGATTATAATATGGATGATTTTGTCGCATAAGTGGGCAACTATCAACATTGGTAGATGGGTCCTCCTCCACTGCCACCACTTATGATTTGGATAACAATTAGACATGTCCAAATCACTTCTATAATCTTTTTTAAATCACTTGTATAACATTATTATTACTATTTAAATTAAGTAAAGCTGGGAATGACAAATTTTAAAAACACCATTTTTCTATGTCAGACTCGAAGTAGAGTTACTCTGAACTCTGAAGAACAAAAACAGCAAAACAAAAGTATGTCAAATTCAAGATATAAGATATTACTAATAAAATAATTTAAAAAGAAGATTATATATTACTGATAAAATAATGCTATTAGTATCACCCGCACGTGATACCGCACGTGATTCCGTATTTACATCGTACCTGGGCAACCATCCCAAACACAACCACGTATCCCCATCAGCTCCTGCGTTTCTTGCCTCGTCATCACAACACGACAGATTTACACCATGTGGGACCCCCTTTCCATACCA